AACCATGTTCTCAGCCAATGCCTACGAGTGCAGCCGCCACACGCTCCTCCTCGCACACCAAGATTTGTCCTGTCACTTTGTTTAATCCCTGTGGCTGACAATTATTTTACATTTTAGATGTGAGGATGCTTGCTTTGGACATTACAGATCTTCCATGGGGAAGCCACTATTGCTACAAGAGCACTTTGAAACTTGAAAGACCTTTGAGCTGCCATAAACGCTGTACATATTTGCCATCCCCCCTCTAAAAAGGTGCAGTTTCAGGCCCTTTCATGTCCCCAGCTAACATGAACGCGTGCTGACTGCAGAAACGTGTGATCTTTGCTGTTCAGGTCCCCGAAGCAGCAAAGCCCATAAGCTCCCACTGAACTTTAAAACTGAAACAGAGCCTCATTGATTTCAGAAGGACTTCAGCACATACTTGAGGGCTTTGCAACGCAACAGCAGATTCCTCCTGCACTTAAAAGTTCAGCGTGTGTTTAAGGGCTTTGCTAAAGGGGGGCCTCCACCGGCAAAAAGACAGCGGCAGCCTGCTCCGAACAGGTCACCGGGAGGCGGGCAGGGTTTAAAAGCTTGTTGCAAACACCAGAAGCTCTGTGTTGGGGGTGAAACAAGGGCCAGGCAGGACCCGGAGGCAGGTGAGCCCCTCACACCGCTGCCTGGTCCTGCTGTCACTGCAGGCAAAGCCTCCCCACCACACGCAGATAAACAGCTGCCCTTTATCTGCAGCCACACTGCAACCGCTTCCTCCCGGATTACTTAATGTACCATTAGAAATTAATTAAATGCTTCTGCGGTGAGATAACAACAGGAAACGGCTGCTCCAAGCAGCTCCCCTCCCTTGCTGTTGGAGGCTTGTAGCCCTTTGCTGCAAGGGCCGAGATTTAAAGCCACCAGGTGATGTTTGCTCCTGCCTCCAGGGCTGCTCTCGGGCCAGTGTGGCCACAGCAGAGGGCCCAGCCCTGCAGCCACGATGCGGCCAGGAGTGCAAGCAGGGGATGGTGACATGGAAAGGTAGGCTGAAGCAATGGGACAAGTACTCCCAGCACTCCCTAAGCGCCACCTAAATCCCTGCTTACTTGACTTTGGCTGCCTGCGGGATGTCTCGCAGCTCCTCATGCAGGCGGAGGACTTTGGGATATTTCTTTTCAACAATTGTGATGAGATAGTGCAGAAGGGTGATGTTCCTAGGAGAAAAGAGCGGCGAGGTCAGCGTGGTGGCACTGTGGGGAGCCAAGAGCTCAGTCAAAAACCCTGGTTAAATCTCAACTCTGGTAATGAACTGTTTTGGGATTTCTGCAAGGATGCTGCTCACTGCCTGTCTGAGGACATGGGATGGGTCTGTCCCATGCACAGCCATAGTGCAGAGCAGCCTGGTCCCTCCACAGGAGGGACCCAGGGGAGGTGACTTGAGCATCACCACTCCTGTCCTCCATTGTCTTTACTGATGACCAGGCAGGTTTGAGACCTGACCCAGCTCCTCTCTCTCTGTGCACAGAGCTCGGCAAGGAGAGTGAACCAGGTGATGGCTGCAGCAGCTTGGGGGGGCTGCAGAGGTGGTTCCCGTGGAGAGAAACCCCTGGGACCCCTCCTCCAGCCACTGTGCCACAGCACGATGGCTATTGGCTTCTCAAAGGGGGGAAAAAGCATTTGGAGGATGATCCTCCCAATCAGCCTTGGCTCCCGTTTAGCCAGCCCAGGAAGGAAAGCCCCCATCGATCCCCACACTGACATGCAGCTCGGCTTCCCTCAAAATCTGTCCACTCCAAACACAGGTGCTTGCACCATCGGATGTGCCAGATGGGGTGGCAGGAGGGAGGGGACCGCTCCCACCTACCCATGTCCCAGAGGCAATGCTACAGGTCCCTCCGTTACCCCAGCATCCTGGGGGCCACAGACGCTACCGAGGACGAGAGCAGGGGCTGCTCACTTGTCAATGCTGGACTTGGTGTCCGCGATCTTGTTGAGGCTGGAGATCTTAAACCCAAAGGCGTTGCCCCTCTGGCCTTTGTTCATGTAGTTCCCGAAGGCTAGGACCACCTCCAGCAGCTGCTGGAGGCTGCTGCTCTGCAGCACCGCCTTGGAGCCTGCACGGATGGCTGAAAGCAGAGAGTTGCAGGACGTTACCCTCTGCCACGACAGCACACCGGACCCCTTTCCTTGCAGCAACCCTTTGGTTCCCCCGTGGCCAAAGAGTGACCACTAGCGCCCTCCCTTCCCCTGCATCACTGCAACCTCCATGCAGACCAGGCTCGCCCTGGCACAGAGGGATGCTCTTCCTACAAATGCTCCCCATGCTGGCACAGAGCCCCTTAGTGACCTTAGCAGGTCCAGTCACTTGCCTTCCACCTTGGGTTTGACTTCTGCAACTCTCTCTGCAAACTTCTTCTTGAAGTAGAGGGACTGCAGCCTTTGCTGATAATGGTTTATCCTGGAAAAAAAAGAGATGCAGGTTAAGCTTTGCTTGCTCCAGGCAGAGCTCAGTTGCTCTGCTGCTCGCAGCTGTGCTTACAAAGCACGCTTGAGCCACAGTGATTAAAAAATAATGACCGCATTTCTTCCTGAAACTATGCTGGGATGGGAAAAAATGACAACTGAAGCTACAGCTGTCCTGGGGTGGATCCAGGTGGGCTCTTAAGCACATGCTTAAGCCTATCCTTAACTCATCAGGTTCAACAAGCACATTTTTACACCCTATTGCTATGAACAAACAGTTCATTTACAACCACTCCTTAGCAAAGATGCTGATGAAGTCTGGGCTCACAATGGCTTTGTGATGAGCTGTGGCTGGACACAGGCACACGAACTATCAGCACTAACAAAACTGGACCTTCAGGTCCTCAAAATAATGGCCTGGGCCAGAAAGCCACCAACACAGCCCAATCCAGCCCTTTCCTGGGCAAGTTAGGGATGGCTCTGCTCATGTCAGTTGTATTTAGGCTAAACAAGATCCCAGTTGTACACAAATTGCAGTCTGATTTGAGTCATTTGGACCAAGGACCCATGGGAGACGTGCTCACAGACAAGGCCATGGGCTACACTGTCATTGGGCTAATCAGAGGTGACAAAGATATCACACTTGCTTACAGACCACAGGGCAAATTAAAAAGCTGTGCTGGAAATCAAGGAAAATATTTGCATTGGCATGTTGTGCATTCCAAAAGATGAAGGCACAGGAGCAACACTTGGGCAAGAGACTGTGAAGAAGAAAGGTGACCTGCGATACGAAAGCTAATTCTGAGCATCTTCCAGCCCCAAGGGCTCAGGTCTGAACTTCACAGCTCTGTCCTGCCTGTCTTTGATACTCAGCAACTACATGGTGCATTGCCCCCGTGTTCATCGGTGCATTTCTCAGGGAGGACAGGAGTGTTTCTATTTTTGATCTCCCAGATCTCAAATTGTGAAACTCACTGACTTTGCAAACAAGTGACTTGCTTGAAGTTCAGCTAAGAAATTCAAAGAGCTCAATACTCAGTTGGATGTAAATAAGGAGCTTCAAGATTTTAAACCAGCACTTCTAGAGGATGTGCATGCAAAAGATAAGGTTATTCATCCCTGAAGACTTCTAAGCCTCAAATGATTGCTACCAGGAGCAGAAAGAAATGACATTTCCTTTCTGTCTCAAATATTCTCAGGAGCCTCAGGGACAAGTCATTCCTGAGGTGAGGAGTGGGATTCATCTACACAGCAGTGCAAAATTTACATACATCAGTCTTGAGTATTCATTAGGATATGTTCGTGTGAAGGGGAAAGGAGCGCTGTGTTATCATTCCAACAGCACTTCCCACATGGACCACGATGCAGATGATGCAGTCTTTCGCAGAGTTGTGCCAGACTGAGCATTTCTCCGCCGAATGAGAGGGCAAATGTGCTGGGACATGACCTGGGAAGCCAACACCTCTCTCCAGTGGATCCATCTCCCCATCCCTCCCCCCTGCTCCATCCAGCTGCTGGTTGTCTGGGATGCACAGCCCTGATTTTAGGAGCACAGCATCACAAGCAACCCTTATGGGTGGGAGCCCCTTGCTTGCCCTCCTGTCCCTTTGGCCTGCTCATTTCTTGATGCGAAAAACAGTAAGCAGGGCTTATTTCCCAACCAGGCTCCATGAAACAGCCACCTCGGAAATGGCCCATGCAGCCACTGGCCAAAACACGTGTCCCCTGGGCCACCAACCTGCTCATTTCGAAGAGGAACCGGTCAGCCTTGGCCATGCGGTCCAGCTCGTGCTTATGCTCTTCCAGCAGGTCAATGTCACCCTTCTCAGGAACAAACTTCAGGAGCTAAACGGGGGAAAGCACACTGGTGGACATGAGGTCCATGCACAGCTTTTCAGGGGAAAAATGGTGACTGTCACTTGAATGTATGTACAGAAAGTGACCCCAAGGCACCTATGAAATAAGTGTTACTGCTGTCCCTGCGACCTCCTGTTACCCCATCACATTAGTGTCCCTTGCTTCTGCCCTGCCATCCCTCTGGTTTTACAACAGATGTACTGTGTCTGCTCCACAGTGGTTTCAACATCCACTCTGCCAGAGGAGATCTGAGAGACTCTCATTTGCTGCAACTCTACCTATTTGCAGATGGAAATTTTGTGCAATGAATCCTCCCATGTCTCTGCTGAAAAGGCAATTACCAGCCTAGCTTTAAGGACAGGTGAATAAAATGCTTCCAAAGGGATTCAGAGGGGGTGAAAAACGGGATTCCCTTTTTGAGGACTGCACAAATGCTGAACAAGCTTTCAAAACTAAAACCCCACCGAGCACGAACTTCAAGCCGCAGACTCAAAATAGGCAACTGGCCCAGCCTCGATGTCCCAGGGCAGACCCAGGTACAGGCATGGCACGTGGAGGCCATGCTGCTCCCGGCACCGATGCTACGACCGAGCTGCTTTCCTGCTGCTCCAGCCCACTTGGGTGGTTTTCCAACATGCGGCTGGTAAATAATCTGGGACCTCGACACACTTCTCAAAGTTGCGGTTTGGTCCTGAGTGCCTTGCACAGCACGGTCTCAGCATGAGGCAAACACGGAAGAGCACAAGACACGTTGCCCACCTGCTCCAGCATGTCTTTCGGGAGGTCCTCCTGCTCGTCCATTGTCAAAATCGCTCGTTTGATCTCCTCGTTCGAGAGTTTCAGCCTGGGAGGTGGAGGGGAAGGAGAGTTATTCCCAGCCCAGCAATTGGGCAAGGTTAAGGAGCATTTCCTTACACACCCATGCAACATGAACAGGCTAACTCCTGGCCAGCAGCATCGCAAATAACACTACACAGCATGTTACAAAGAAGGACGTGCGAGAAACTTGGCAGGGCCATGCCCTGCCAAGGCACAGCAGAAAGCAGCCCTGGCCCCGCTGCGACAGGGGGTCAAACCCAATAGCCAATTCCTTCTTCCCCGCACTGCAGCTGTTGTCGCCTATTTTATAGTATTTTATATAATTATTGTAAGTAGCATATTATACATATATTAAAAATATGTATGTAACTCTTGCCCGTAGCAATGCTGCTCCTGCAGTGCCAGCATCCCCGAGGGCCATGGGGCCAGTGGGGGTCACGCTCCCCATTGGCAGCACAGCCCAGCCCAGGCTCAGGAGCACAGCTCAGCACTGCTCCTGAACCCGTTGCCACAACCCCTAAGGAAAATTTGGCCAATTTCTGCTGCTTTTCTTGGATTTGAATGTTGCCTTCCCCACCTCTCCCAGCTGCCTTTGGCTGGAGTCTCCCTGTAGGAAGAAAGAGAAAGAAATCCAAAATTTGGGGAAACGGATGCTCAGCATCCCAGGAAACCCATCAGGTTTTTTTTAGAGGGGTGGGGATTCAAGGTGCTTTGAAGTGTAACAGGTTGGAAACCAGCCCTCCCTCCACCTTTTTCTTCCTCCACTTCACGTAACAGGAGTTGAAGATGTAGCCTCTAATTGGGGATTTCTAAAACCACAGACCATTGTATCACAGCAAGCAACAATGGGCTGGTCTTCCCCCAGCAGCCTGCACCGAGCTGAGGCAATAGATAGAAAGATGTCCTCAGCTCTTCCTGGGCTACAGCAGCCATTAATTACAGTTTAACATGTCTGCAGCACACCCCGTGACCGCTCCCTGCAATGACTTTGATTGCAAAACCACACATATTTTTCTTCACGTTTTTGCATTGTGGTTGAGGAAATAATCTAAATGCAGAAGAGGGAAAGCCCAGAAACTCCTGCAACTCTGCTAGTACCCTATCTCTTGCCCAGCCTGCAGTGATGGTTAAAGCCACTGCAATAGGTACGGTTTAAAAAAAAATCCCCTGTTCTTGCATGCAGGGAAAAGTCGCACAGTTGAAAAGACCCGTTTGTGGGCTCTAAGGAAACCCATCACCCCAGTCTTGGTGATCAGTGCTGCCAAGGGATGCTGAAACACTGGATGTGGCTCAAAGCTGAAACCAGAAACACATCCTATGGCAGGATGTAAGACCTTGTGTCAACATGATCAGCAGATCAAAAAGAAGATTGGGAGCTGACTTGATCATCCCAAGTAATTAAACAAGGAGGGTATTTTTCAACCTGGCATCTCTTCAGGGAGCAGACTGAGACTGTAGAGCTGGCTTTTGGAAGATGAAGCTGAAGCAGGAAGGGTGCTGGTCTCTAAGACCAGGGTAGCAAGAGCTTGGTTTAGCTTGAAATCTTTTGCTCAAGCCCTGAAGTGAAGGATTAGCTTTATTGAGGCTGGTGGATCTTACAGACCTGGCAAGTAAATATTTGTTCCTTATGAGCTCATGTTTCTCGTCCCGTACCCAGTCCTCTCTCACCTCCTGCTCGAGGGAGCCCGCCCAAGAGAGGGTTTGTTAAACAAGGAGTGAGTGAAAATCTCAGCTCGGCCAGGGGATGAAGCACAAAGGTTGCACTGAGCAGTGGCCAGGACAATTGCAAGCATCACCCCACAAGGAGCAAACCCAGGATCCATGGAAAATATCCCCTCTGATGCTTGCAGTGATGAGCAGCCACATCCTGGGGACACCCTACCTGTCCCGTATGGGAGCAGTGGCTGGGATGGACGTGACCTGAGGTGGGACAGGAAGCTGCAGGAGGACTCCTGTTACACCCAAGCAGTGACATGAAAGCTCAGACCACCAACAAATGTCACATCAGTCCCCACCCTGGTGAAAAGCAGACACTGGCTGGGTTTGAACATTTGGGGAATCCCTTGGAAGCAAACAAGCTCCTAGGAGAAAGGGGCAGGTAGAGCTACCCCTCGTCCAAAGCCAAAGTGAACACCTAAAGCACACACATTCCACCGTGATCGTCCAGGAGGGTGGTGAAAGATAAGGGTGATTTTTGTAAGCCCTGCTCATTAAAAGCAAAGTCAATTATAGAATATATTTAAAAAAAAAAGAGGCTGAAAAAACTTTTCTCAGGAATCATCAAAACCCAGTGCCAAGAACAAGAGCCTGCCCCAGCATCGGCAGAGAGCAAGCATGAGGCGCCAGAAGAAAACAGCTTCTCAGACAATTTGATGGGAAAGGGGCCAGTGAAAGCTAGAAGCTTATCTATAACCACAATAATTATCATTGTTGGCAGCAGCTGTCGAACGCAAGCCGTCTGAGAGGAACGGGGTCACAGGACTTGCTGTCACAAGGATTTAAAGCCAGCAGCCTGCCTATGCGAAGTGACAGCTCGCCAGCCTGACAAGCGCGGGGCTATTTTGCGTGGCTTTTGTAGAATCCTGCAGAGGACGTAATAAGTGTGAAGGGGAAAAACGAATTCCACAGGGAAAGGGACGCGCCCTCTTGAAAAGCCACATTCATTTGAGAAAAATGTTCCACGCCACCTTGCCTGAGAGAGGAATCAAACGAGCCATTCACCACCGGCACAGGCAGAAAGCGATGGAGTAAGGGCTTGATTTGCATCTTGCAGAACACAGCACTAAAAATACACACATGTACACAGGGAGCAAAAGCAAGGACATGGTGTGTTCACGGAGGAAGACCCAATAACGCACTGACATTGCCAAAGCGTTCTCAGAAAAAAAAAAAAGGAAGAAAAAAGCAAGTGTTAAAAATATTCTTGTGCTGCATTACAAGCCGCAGGAAAATCCAGTGATCTCACTGTACAGTAATTTCTCCCAAAGCAAGGGAAACAGGCAAAAAAATAAATCTACAGAGAGAGATAAAGTATCTTGCTGGCCGTAATCTTTCCACGCTGCAAGCCAGACAATGCCTGGTGAGCTTACAAACGTCTGGGCTAAATCAGGGGCCAAGCTTGCAGGTCCTTTCGCATGTGAAAGTGCTTGTCCCCGTGGTGGCCATGCAAGCAAGGCAGGAGAGCAGCAGCCCGGCTGCAGTGAGCCACCCTGTGAGACCAGTCCCTTTGCAACACTGGGACCAGGAACCCACTGCTCTGCCCAGGTTAGGGATGGGCAGCTGGGGTAGGCAGAGATGAAAGGGTTTGCCCAAGGTCACATGGAGCCTGCTGGAGATACAGGGGCGGGACCTGAGCCCACCAGCAGGATGCTTGGGCTTCATCCTAACACTGCCCTTCCTTTTAGTTGCTTGGCATCAAGAGTAAATTGCCCAAAGGGATTCTGGGGAGAGAAACTCGATTGTGGTCCCTTGCAGAAATGGGGGAAGGAGCAGATTTGGCTGCTGCTGCAGTGCTAGAGAAATGCCCGGCCCAGCTGGCCCCTCTGCCTGCGCATCCCCGGGAGCACCATGGGACGAACCCCAAAGCACCTCCAAAGCAGCGGCTGGCACAAGGTACTGCTTCCCCAGAGCCACTCGTCCCCACAGGGCCCCGATCCTGCTGACTGTGCTCAGGAAAAGCCGTATGAGTCCTGGGGACCACCCTGCAGGGCAGGTCTGATCCCGCTTCTCCCCTAGGAAACGACCCAAAAGGGAGGGCAGACAGGCAGCAGCCTCCATCATGCCTTTTTTCTGGGATTAATTACTGGCGACTCATTTCCAGCCATCACTTTCTTGGAAGCGAAAAGTTTGCTGGTGAGATGAAACTAAGACCTTTACTTGGTAAGACATGCACGATGCCTTTGAAATTAAGTGCTTGGGTAGCTCCCCTTCCCACCGAAGGGGCTATTTGTGTGCTTAACTTTCAATTACACACTTAAACCTCTGGCTGAATTACACCTAAACCCACTCTGACTATGCTCAGCCTAAGTATGCCAGGGAGCAGCCCAGCCAGTGCCTCAAATCCCATCGCTTTACTTGCTAATAGCTGGCTGCCATAGACGTACTCATTTGCCCGCTGCTTTAAACTCCACTTTCATCATCATCCTTTTTATTTGGACTGCTAGGAAGTATGAAAATCACCAGAAGCAAACCAGAGCAGAGACAGCCATAAACACGGCAATTTTACCACCGAACGCTGCAGTACACGGCTCACTTCACTCATCGCTCCTGCTGCCCGTGGGGCTGCAGACCACCTCCGGAAGAGCTTGAAGAAGCACCAGGGACTGCGAGTTACCCACCCAGAGGGTTTTTTTTTTTTTTCAGACATCAGCCTCTGCCTGCTTTCTAGGGAAGGAATCCAGCCAGGCTGCCCAGGCGAGGCACCAGCTCCTGCGACCCACGGTCGAGGAAAGCAAAGAATTCGGGCGCTGCGGCTGCAAGCCCAACCTGCCAGTGATGCTGCTCCATCCCAGCCGGACCTGAGTGGCACAAAAGCTTCTGCGCTTCCAGGCAGCAGAGTGCATATTTCTGAATGGAGCTATATTTTACTGCTGTTGGGATTTTTTTTTCTGGGTGAGTCAGAAACAAGTGGCATTTTCTGCTGCTTTTTGGGTTTTTTTTTCAAGTAGCTGCGCTGATGGTTGATCCTTTCAGACCACCGCAGCCTGGCTTCTCCTTTCTTATTGGTGTAGTTTATCTTGCCAAAAAAGGCCCTTTTCATCCTCTTGGCAGCAATCTGGGGATTGGATTAAATTGCTCGTAGTAGCGCTGAGCCTGCTGGGTGAGGGGCACGTGGGAGGCTGTCATCCCAGCAGGGCTGGGCAGCTGGAAGAGGGGGACGTCCCCTTCCCGAAATCCAGATGTGGCACGGGACACCTGTGCAGGCAGCCAGGCCCTGGCTGAATTACGCTGCCGCTCCCTGCACCCTGCCAATACCCAGTGCTTTTCCCAGCCTAACAGATACTCTCTTCAACCGCCACCAAAGAGCAAGAGGAAGATAAGAGGTGAAATCAAACACCCTCCCATCCCCTATAAAGGCTCCCTGGGTACCCCAGCCCTTTGGGGCCTTTCCAGGGACGCTAAATTGCCACGTACCCAGTTAATCGCATCTCCCTCCCCGTGCCACCCCGCCACGAATGGTGTAAGGCTATAGCTGGGTTCAGGTGTCCCTGGCTCTCCTCCCATGCTGGCTCCTGTCATTAAACCCGCCCTGGGGACAAGGAGCATCCCCCCCAGCCCAGGGCAGGTTATCAAGCATCCCCCTACTCCCCGGAGGGCGAGAAGGCATTAAATGTACCTGGAGAGGAGGATATTGCAATTCTGAGCTCTCCGGCCGTCTATGACTGAAAGCTCCTTGACTTTATGCCGGGAACTCAAGGTGTCATCGATAGCATCTTCCTTCTACAAAAAAACAGGGGGGGAGAAAAAAAAGGCCTGGAGAAAAGCCATGAAGAAGCAAAGACATTTAGTACTCTCAGCACACAGCAGCATGATACACAGCGGACCCCCATTAATCAGGAGTGTCACCACGGGTTACGGGTAAAACCCATCGCCTGTAACTGAAACACAGTAAGTCGTTTCATAAACCACAGCTGGCTTTGAAGCCACTGGTTAGAAATGTAAATATTTTCTCAGACAGGGAAGATTTAAGAATCTGCAAACACACAGGCGCTGCTGAATAAATAAAGCCGGGCTTTCTTAGCACACATATTTGTGATACTTCATTAAATCTTCGCATGAAATATTTCATTACGGGCTGCTGCACACACTCAGCATCACTCTTGTTCTTCACCCCCACTCCAAACATCTGCAGTCACCCTTCACGCATCAGTCCTCCCGAGCAAGCTAACCAATACAAGCTACCAGACTTGCAAACACAACCTGCAGCATTTGCTGCTCTTTCAAGGAAATTCTCCCCAGATAAGGGATTTGAAAGCAGGAATCTGTGTGGCATAAGCACCTACATCTCCTAAGCAGCTTAAATATGTTACCTTCAAATGAGTAACAATATACCAAATTGCAGTTGCGGGCAAATGGGCAGATCTACATAACAGCAATCTTGCAGGGTTGCCCAAGGGGTTCATGTTGCCCCGGTTTTAATTTATCATATCGCATGTTTTAGTAAGGTTAATCAATTAAAAGCCGGCTATTCAATCCTTCTGGAAGGAACACAACCTGGAGCTGCAAGGTCCCACGCGCTACAGATCCGCACTAAACGTCTATGAGCGTAGGGGACCTGGCACACAGCCACTGCACGGGTTGAGAGTGAGCACAGAAGTTCCCATTTTTTATTCTTTTTCTTGTTTGAATGAAAAAAACCCCAGCTATAAGAAGCGGGAAGCTGCTGGGACAGGCGGTGCAGAGCGAAGGCAGTGGCAGGTGAAGGAAGGCGAGCCCCACGTCACCTACCACCAGCTGCCCCTCTCGTGCGCCTTGCCTGCTCTGACTGTGATGAAACAGAGAGCTTCAACCCATAGGCAGGAGTTTATTTATTTCCATCCTTTGAAAAGCAAAAATGCTCAGAGGTAGGAGCTTCTCTGAGTTGAGCTGCATCTGAAAACCCTACCCCTGGTCTCAGAGGTTGGCTTCAACTTGCGGCCAGACAGCAGAGAGAGCAGCTTTGTACTTACCAGCCTCCCCAGCATCAACTTTCAAGTTGCTCCTCCTGGTGGTCTTTGTACCTCTCTGATTTAACCCCCACTTTGCCGCAGGTTAACCCCCCCCCAGCACTGCGCATGTCCCTTGAGTCCCCAGCCCCGCGCTCACGCTGCCCTCGCCGCTCGAAGGCACCGGGCTCCTGTGGATGCTGGCTTACCTGTCTGGAGTTACCGTTCACAAAGAAGTCCTACGGCCATAGCAGAAGCATGGAAAAAGGCAGTAAAAACACATGCAGTTCAGTGATCTCAGAGAAACCAAAAGGATTCAAAGCACAGTCAAGGGAAGGGTGCAACACGGGGAGCTCGGCAGCATGGGGAAGCACTTGGGGTTTGCCAGCGCCAAAATAGGGGGGATGCACATGAAAATGTGGTGAGGATTAAAGGATGCGCAGAAAGGGAGGGCGGATGGGAGAGGGAGAGACAGCTCCATGAATGGATCAGGCCAAGGTGCTGGTGTGCAAGGAGGTGAGGAGGGGCCATGGGACAAGGTGGGAGGATGTTGGCCAAGCCCTGCCACCACTCTGCATAAGAGTCAGCAAGTGCTGGCCCAAAGGCACAGCACTGCTCGGACTGCTGTGCCAGGGAAGAAAATTGCTAGTTTTTGCGAATCCGAGAGACTGAAATGCCAACGCGACTGCCAGGAAAAACAGGGCTTTCAAGTGGAAATAACGAGAGGCTCATCCCGGAGCAAATCTGGCCGCAGCAAAACTTTACCATTTGCCGTGGCAACACATTTCCCCTTGATTTCTCCTCTGACAGAGACAACCCCCCTTCTCCAGGGCTTGGCAGCCTGGCCAAATGCCACCCCGACACACCAACAGCACCACGCTCCTCTGAAGACCTGGTTGTCCTGCTGGGCTCCCCCCACCAGCCTGGAAGCACGCATGGCAAAGCCAGCACCACACGCGTGCACGCACGCACGAGGGTTTTACCACCTCGTTCCCTGGGCTGCATCTTTCTTTTTTTTTTTTGTGCTTGGCTCAAGAGACCATCCAGCAGCTCCATGATGGGGAGGGAGGTTTCAATGGTGCATAAATGGCTTGTTTTATTTTTTTTTTTAGTGAAAAGAGAAGGCAGGCAGTGAGCAAAGGAGGTAAGTGGGTCCAAACGCAGTTGGTTTACAAGGGCGCTTCCCCTTCAGCCCCTCTGTGCCAAGGCGGCCAATGGCCCATGTACCTCGTTCGAGTTCATCATCTCCAAACACAGCCCATCACTGGTGCCTTTTTAAAGGAAACTTTTTTACGCAGGTTTTCCCCTTACCAGCTGCCAAGGCTGGATCAGCCCAGGACCCACACATGGCTCTGGGCAGGAGGATGGGAAAGGGCTCCATTAGATGCCACCGAACACCCAGGGCTGGGGGACCACCACCCACTGGGGGCTGAGCTGTGCTGACTGCAAGCCCCTGGCTGAAAAACAATGCATCAGGCTTTCCTCAGGCTCACAGAAATGTTGTGGCCATGAAGCAGAACAAGACGTGCCAGGAGGCAAGGAAACTTCAGCCAAGAAAAGGAGCGACCGACCCTTTCTTTGGCAGAGGGATGGGCACCCATGGGGTGCAGCGCGGGCACCCCGGCGCAGCACTGTGCCGAGCGGTTGCCTCAGGCAGCGTCGCACCCATCTACGTAGAAACACGTGTCGAAGAGCTGCCACGACCCTCCCCAGGCGCAGAGCTCTGGCAATACCACCACGCTGGGGGCTTTGCAAGGCAAGGGGAACCTGCAGACCCTGAATAAGGACACCCGAGCTGCCACTGCTGTACTTCAGGGAGGTTAGATGAAAACCCATACAATTTAGCTGGATGTGAGGCTGTTGCAAAGGCAGAATTAACTCCGTGGATCAGTGTCCTGGTTTCAGCTGGGATAGAGTTAATTTTCATCTTGGTAGCCGGTATGGGGCTGTGTTTTGGGTTTAGGATGAGAACAATGTCGATGATACGCTGATGCTTTGGTTCTCGCTAAGTAGTGCTAAGCTGTTGCTAAATAGGTGCTAAGTGGCGCTCACACTGGTCAAGGACTTT